TCAAGAGAACAATATCTTAATTTCCATCTACGTTAATTGTAGAATTTAATATCTCAAGACACTTGAAGAATTAAGGATATATATAATCTTAGCCAGGCAACTGTTACACACAAGATTGATAAAATGTAGAAGAAAAGATATTAAATTAAAACTCTCTAGGATAAAAAAATTAATTCAGAGGTCTTAATATTATCTAAAAAACTAATTTCCTTAGCGATATTATTACATACCAAGATATAGATTCTATTTATTATAATTGTCACACGTGTGTGGCATTGCGGCGATCGTCCACTATCCAAGAAAAATATAGAAATGTAGATATGATGTATTTCTAGTAAAATATGAAGAGACAAGGAATTCTTGTGTCTTTTATCAGTGAACAATTGAAATGGAAGTCACCACCTAGTATTTTGATTATTAGAAATCCTAACTGGTTTTAAAAATCGAGTACAAAGACTAGTTGCGTAAAAGAAAGGTATTAGCACCCCAAATACGCCCTACCTAAGGTAGGTTGCATTGTTTTGTCTAATCAAATCTAAAGTCTTGTTTTGTAGTTTTTAATTGTTGATCTATCTAAGGTTCAAAACAAACCCTCCTCAATAACGAGGTTCTTTTCTTAAAATATGGTTAAACCTAACCATTCTATTGTTCTAAAAAATAAATTAAATATCTGAAATATGTATTACGTGTAATGTCATACCTCAGATACTAAGCGATAAACAAAATAAAATTTTTACTGTTTTTGAAATTTTGGCCAATATTCTCTTGACTTTAATAAACTGATTATTAAAACCAAAATTCATGCTAAAATATTATTTTTGATGCATGAAAAAGACAATATGATGTTTTAGCTTTGAGACAGTTGGCTATATGCATAAAAATATTTGTTTTGTTTTTTTTTGTTTTTTTGTATTTTTGAAATTTTTGACAAAAACAGAGTATTTTAATACCGGATTTGTATTTTTACAGCATAAAAATACTGCCTGATATTAATCAAATTACATAAAATATGCAAAAAAATTGTAAAAATTCTAAAAAACAAGCATTTGAATTTTTTTTTTTAAAATAGGCCGGGTCAGGCCTAAATACATGGGTTGGATCGAATCTGACCTAACTAAAGGGGCTGGGCTCAGCCCAATTCGTATAAACAGTAGGCCTCTCCACTGTTCACATGCAATGTGAACACTAGAGAGAAAGGAGAAGAAGCAGTGGACGAAGGTGGAGGAGGAGAGGGAAAAAGGCTGACCTGCGGTGGCTCATGATGCTTTTAGCAACTGTGGCAGTGGCAATGACACTGCTAGTGCTGGTTGGGGCAAGGTGGCACGCAGTGGCTCTATTGTTTTCTTCTCTCTTTCTCTCTTCTCTTGTTTCACTATTTTTGCCTTTTCTTCTAGTTTTTTTTTTCTTTCCCTTTATTCTGCTCTTTCTCTTATATTCTCCTCTCTTGTTCGGTTCTCTCTTGGGTTCGATCTCCCTTTCCTTTTTTTTTTTTCAATCCCCTTCCCCTATTTTTATAAGCAAAAACAGGGGAGGGAAACGTGGCTGGGGCGACCACTATGCTGTCACCCCTCCATCGCCTCTTCAACACATGGAAAGGGTGGCAAGTCGGTGTCTTTTTGAAGTCATTGGGGGGAGGGAAATTGGTGAAAAACAAAGGAGAAAAACCAAATTTTCTTCCCCTGTTCTTTGCATGTTCAGGGGAAGAATATGTGGTACCGTTCAAAACTGTATCGTTTTGAGTTTTTTTTCTTTTTAAACAATGAGTGAAATGACGTCGTTTTAGTCAAAACGCGTCGTTTCATTTTAAATGAAAAAGCGGCAAAAACTTGTTAAATTTTACTTTTATCCTCAATTTGTAATTTGGTTAATCAAGTCTTCAATCGCAATTTTAATTTAAAATCAATGCAATTGCATCCCTTCTAAAAATCCAATAGCGGCCCTATAGTTGACTGTCCTTTTCACTTTGGTTCTTGATCTTGATATTATGCAATTTGACCCTCAATTGAGCAATAAACTTCTAATTCTTCAATTGGGCCCCTGACCGATTTTAATTCCAGCCCTTCTATTTACACGCCTTTATTGTTTTGGTCCTTGGTTTCAGATTTTTTCAATTAGGTCCCTAATTGGCCATCAAACTTTAATAGTTATGCAATTAAATTCCTAATTTGATCAAATTAACTTTGAAAAATTATAATTTGACCCCATAACTTTAATTTCTTCCAATTAAAGCTTAAATTAACTCCAAAATCAATTTTTCTTACAATCAAACTCTCTATAAATTCAATTAAACCTTCAATAAAATTTAATTAAGTCATAAACATCTGATTTTGAACTTTTCTTACTCAAAATTGAATTTTCTTTGTCAATAAGGCTGTCATAAGTCAATAAAATACTGTTAAATTTTAATTTTTATATTTTTTTACCTCCTCAACTATTTTTTACCCATTTTTAGGATGCACTGACACCATTTTTTTCACTATTTATATTTTTGATAATATGTTTTTGATTTTTTCATATTTTATTATTTTTGATGCGGGGGGCTCAAAAATAGGTAATGACAATAATAATATAATTACTATTTTTTTTTGTTTTGTCATTTTATTTTTAGCCTTTGCTTCGAGGGAAGATAGTCTTTTTACTTTTACATAAATGTCTTTTAATGATTGTACGAGGTTATTTTGGTAAATATATTCTATAATGCATAGTAAAATTACTAATGTAACCTTTAAATAAAATAAATCAATGCCTTCTACATAAGGGTTTTTTTTCATGTTTTATAGAATAATTAAATTACTACATTACCTTATAATTTAAATTTTTTAGCATTGACTTTAGGGGTTTGGTTGTAATTTCAACATGATTTGTTTTTTAATATTGTTTAGTCCTAAGAGCTTTTCTGCTTTTTGCCAAAAAAATAAAAAAAAGCTGTTGCACGTGCCTTACATGTGCCAGCCGCTCTGCAGCTTTTTAGTGGTGCGTGCGGCCAATAGTGATTTCACAATATCATTTGATTTATCTAGCTTTATGTCCTCTTCTTTTTTGGGTGACACATGTATGGTAGTTTGACGTGATTTGATGTGAAATTGCTTTTCTTTGCTTTCTTCTTTTCCTTATCTTTCTTTGTAGGATTGTGTGCTGGCCATGTAAAAATTGATACCAAACCTTCAATTTACTTTTTTCTTTTGATTCAATCATTTTTCTCTTATTTGTAATTATTTTATTTATATTAATTATTTCTAATTGGATTTTATTTTTGATTTCATCCCTAATTATTTGATTTTTTTAATTTGTTTTCAAATTTTATCCTCATTCTTTTAATTTTAATTTTTTAATTTTGAATCATTTTTTTGATTGATTTGTTTTTTTTCAATACCAACCCTAGACATTTAATTTCATTTAATTTTTATGTCGAATTTAGTCTTAATTCTTTTAATTGATATATATATATATATATATATATATATATATTTTTTTCTTTTTTTTT